CACAGGGTTAGGGTTAGGGTTTGGGTTATACTGTGTGTATACATGTGTGCATGAATGTGTGCAGAGACTAGAGAAAGATACTGGGTGCCCTACAAATAAATAATATATAAAGGAATTAGTAAAATTCCTTTATATAACCACAGTAAAAACTTTTAACTATTCTCTCCCTCCCTTCATCCCTCTGTGCTGGTGATACAACCCAGGACCCTAAGCATGCTAGGCAAATATCCTACCACTGTACCGTGTCTCAACTGTGTGTATACATGTGTGCATGAATGTGTGCAGAGACTAGAGAAAGATACTGGGTGCCCTACTCTATCACACTCTAATTCCTCCTGCACATAGCTCTCTCTCTCTCTCTCTCTCTCTCCCTCTCTCTCTCTCTCTCTCTCTCTCTCTCTCTCTCTCTCTCTCATTCACCACTGGGGTAACAGATGTGTACATGCCCACATCCAGGCTTTTGTGTGAGTGCTGGGGATTTACACATAGGACCTCATGCTTACACAGAAAGAGCTCTTACCCACTAAGCCATCTCTTTGGGTCCACAGTTCTTTAATCCTCATTTTTATCAGGGTTTAATCACTTTTTACTATGATATAATTTAGATAGGAAAAAGTCTGATATAATTTTCTAACAAGTGTAGCCTAGAGGAGAGGTTCTTAAAATGTGGTCCAGCGTATGAAGTCACCAAGCGCATACATGAGATCCCAGTATTAAGATGTACTGTCCCATCTTGTACTTGTCCTCCACTACTACAAGTGCTTAGACAGAGACAGCATGAAAGCCTAAGCACTGTCTCTAAGCTTGACATTACTGGTCCCTGTAAACATCAACAACCACCTTGCACTTATCATTTCTTTTTTCACAGAGTAACCTTTCATTAGTCTTCTGAATCTCATCCTCTCAACTGATGGGGAAGTGCTTCTGTGTATGTTTATTTTATTGGTTGATAAATAAAGTACTGTTGGCCAATAGGGAAGCAAGTTAGGCGGGACTAGGAGTCAAGGAGGGTTCTGGGAAATGTAGTAAAGAGAAGTCTTATGATCCAGGCAGGGAGTAACATAGCAGGCTGATTCAGAATATAAGCAGGGACAAGCAGGAAATTGCTCTCTTCTACTCCTCTCTTCTCTGTGGAGCTGCCATGTGATTGCCTGGCAAGAGAGGAAGCATACAGCCGCATTCTCGATAAGATAAACCCTTATAAAATATATAGATTAAGCCGGGCAGTGGTGGCGCACGCCTTTAATCCCAGCACTTGGGAAGCAGAGGCAGGTGGATCTCTGTGAGTTTGAGACCAGCCTGGTCTACAAGAGCTAGTTCCAGGACAGCCTCCAAAGCCACAGAGAGACTCTGTCTCGAAAAACCTATATATAGATAGATAGATAGATAGATAGATAGATAGATAGATAGATAGATAGAAAACAGGTGTGTGTGTGTGTGTGTGTTATGGTTGATAATTAAGACTGATCTAGCAGATAAAAAATCCTAGTCATTGGCCAGCAGCATTGTACCTAATATAAGACTCTGTATGTTATTTTGGACACCCATATGATAGCAGGGCTCAGGCAGCTTGGTAAAAAGACTTATCGTTACACTCAATTCTCAAGGATATCTCATTAATTCATATCAATTTTCATTTTATTCCTTTGGTTTCCATACTGGATCAACTCCTCCTTCTCCTTCTTATGTCATTACCTTCTTTTCCACTATATCACTGCCTCCAAGATACAAACATGCTCTGCTACCTCCAATCCCAAACAAAACAGAAAACCCCTCTTAGCCCCATACCCCCTCTCGCTTCCCCTCCTTTCTGTTTGCTCTCATAATCAGACTTTAAGTGTCTACATGATAATTCCATTTCCTCAGCTCTCAATTACTCTTTAACTCTACCCAGCATGGTTGCAGCAACATCACCTTACCAAATCTTCTTCTTTTATGATGTGCAACCATCTCTACGCACCACTCCTCTTTCTTCCTTGACTTCTGAGCAGTCAAGATGACACATCTATGCACTCAATCACAAGATAAGTTTGATATTTCAAACCTATCTATCCTATAACATTGACAGTTACTCAGAACTCAGCTCTGGGCTTTTCTCTTCTTATTCTCTTCCTGGACAATCTTGTTCACTCCTACAAAATTTAATTTTTTTCGTATCCTATTAGCATCCTTGTTTCCATGTACCCAGCCTGTTAACACAGCAGTTCATGTATTTCATAGGTTCCTCTCCTCAGCACTTCTTTTTTTAAAACAAGTCATTTCAATCTTATTTCTATGTATCTATGTTAATGTGTGTGTTAGCCCATGAAGGCCAGAAGAGGGCACAGAATCCTGTGGGGCCATTGTTGTGAGCCATTCAATGTGGGTACTGATGAATACCACAATACTTTCTCTTAAGTATTAAGTCATCTCTCAAGCACCAATACCTATAGCTTTTTGAAAAATAAAACATTCAAATGGTAGCGTAACTAGTACCTTTCTTCCCTATATATGATACATTTTAGATATCATAGGTCAGTACATATAAAGTTGTTTTATGCTTTTGTATAGCATTCTACTATAAATATGTATTAAGAGTTACTTAACTAGCTCCTACTGGTAGGCATTTCAAATTTCTTATCATTATGAAGAATGCTGCAATGCATACTTTTGATATCATTTTGCACATGTGAACTAATAATTGGGATAAAATATCCAGAGAGAAACTGCTGAACTGAAAATTACATGCAAAGTCAGGTGTTATGGTACATGTTTGTAATTCTAGCACTCGGGGAACTAAGTCAGGAGGATTACCAAGCTCAAGGCCAGCCCATGAGAGCAGTTTCTACTCTCCCCCGCCTCAAATTACATGCATTTGAAAAATCATTTCCACAGAGCTGTAAATTTATACTCCTAACAGGCTAACAGTAATGGAATTCTCATGAAATTAAATATGATCAGTATATTAATGACAATTAAAATCGTATCACAAACCTCTTAAACTCGCAAAAGATTCATTTGTGTATCTGGTGTATTTTATTTGAGCAACTTGAATATCTCCTATGTATAAGACTTTTTGTTTTTATTCCTTCATCTTTAATCCCAACCAGTCCAGCAGTACATTTAAAGTCTACCTCCTATTTAATCTTCAAGCATCTGCATGTCTCTTCTTCACGATCATGGCCCTAATCCAAGCACACACAAGAAAGCTAGTATGCTTAACAAGCTCCCAACTTTCTCCCACTCTTCTAAATTACATAGTTTAAAGTCTACTTGTTAAATAAAACATTTAGCTAACTCACCAGCTTCCCAGCACCCTCAAGAAAACCTACATTCTATGTCTTATTGTCCTTGGACCTTAATTACAGGCTCTTATAGAATAATCATTAAGTCATCTGGGCTCCTACCTCCCTGCCACCTCACTTCCTCATGCCTGGCTATTCTGGCCTTTCTTGCAGTTGTCAAAGCTAAGGTCTATTTGTCAGTTTCTCCCTTAAAATTTTGAATTTTTCAGAGCATCAAGCAATTCTTTGTTTAAGGGTGTTTTATTACATCTCCACTTCTGCTGTATAGTAAGCTCCATGACAGACTTTTTATTTGCTGTTGTGACCACAAAAGCTGGATGAAACAAAAAGGAGCTTTCATTCCAAGTAAGCTTGGAGTCAGGCAAAGGAGACTCTGCTACAATCTGTAACACTTTTCCCCAATGGAATGTAAACTTCCTTGACAATGAGAATTACATTCCACTTTGAATCACAAATACTACTGGCCAATAAAGTAGTTGGCAGACAAAAAAGTAAGTGAGTGACTGACTGCACAGTATAAAGCTAAACATCTTTGGTTACAGATAGCAGGTTTATAAAGAATAATGCTTCCCTTTTCCTTAGTAACTAGAAGCATGGAAACAAGCCACATCCTGTATGTTAATACTGATTAGGTATAGCTGGGTGGCTAACTTACCAGAGCAGACTTCCCCACGCCTCCTGAACCAAGGACCACAAGCTTGTACTCACGCATGATGTGCTCTGTTTAAATACTGACAACCTGAAAAGCAAAAAAAATGAACATAAAAATTCACAAACATACAAAACAGCTTAAGAATATAGCATCAAATACAGGATTTTGCTTTAAAAGTTTTCTCTTGGCATTATCTAGCTAGAGCACAGAGGCTATTGAGCAAAATCAAACAGTTTTCAATAATAGCTTTATAGGACCAGTGCCAGACACCTTAATTTACTGAAAATGATCTCTTATTAGGTATCAATCATTAAGCCCGTTCATGTTACTTTGAAGAGTGACTAGAAAACAGGGCATTAAAATCAATAAAGTCTTAAAACTATAACCATGAACCTAATCATTTGCCAAGCTGTACTTTGGAGATACTCATGAGCTTTAATATAATCTACATGCTATTTTACTTGCCTAAAACACATAGTAGTTCTGCACTATTTTATTCATTGTTACATTATAGCCAGAATGCGTAAAATGTTAGCTTTAGAATTCTTAGGACATTATAATATAAATAGTAGGTGAAAAGACATGTTAACCTATAACAGCAGGAGTTAGCACTCTCTAGGATTCAAAGACCTTCAGAAAATAAGTGGATTATAAGCTTATCTTATGAAGTAAAAGCCAGGAAATAATTTCCAGTGGCCCATATGGAGCAAGAAAGGTAAGACCTTTCACCCTATAGAAAACTGCTAGAACACTGGGCAAAAATTATGAGATAATTATTTTAGACACTGGAAAATAAATAATGTAGGATGGTAGCACATGGATAGAAAGACATGAAATGAGACTCACAGCTCCTTAGCTTCTTGTCTGTAGACACTTTTCAGGCTGTACTACCGGGAGAAATAATTCAAAAACAACTTTGGAAATATACCCAGGAAAAGGGAGCTAGGCTCTGGCAATTCCAGAGAGCTTCAGAAGGATCCACTTGAGACTGGGACCAAGCTCTCACTAGACTGACCGAGGAGTGGATGGGTAATTTTCAGTTATACCTAGTCTTCTAGCCAAAACAACAGAGGTGCATGTACTATACAGACACTGGTTTTTCTCAGCATGATTAAATTCCATGGACTACCAAGAGTCATTAACTTGACAACATAATCCTTAGAAATGCAACAAAAGGTCTAACCAGCACGTAGATTAAACTACATGAGATAAAACAAAGAACAAGAGACCTATATGCAGCTGAAGTCTGAGGGTTCACAAGGTCCTTGGAAATGGGGTTCTTGTGAAACACCGGGCATCTACTAGATACCCCAGAAATTTTACACTTCAGCAGTAAATCTAATACCCCCTTAGTGATAGTCTTCATGTTTTTAAAAAGCCATAGCATGTCCGGGTGGGGTGCACTCAAGTGGCAGATCTCTGTGAGTTTGACGCCAGACAGAGCTACCTAGTGAAATCCTGCCACACAAAGAAAAAAATTATGGAATATGAAGCTGAACACAGACCTGTGCTTACAAAGATAGCTGCCCTAGTATAGTTTACATTTTATCTAGTTACCCAAAGGGAGAAAACAGTGATTTTTTAAATTTAAATTTCTTTTTTTTTCTTTTTTTTCTTTTTTGTTTTTTGAGACAGGATTTCTCTGTGTAGCTTTGGAGCCTATCTTGGCACTCTCTCTGGAGACCAGGCTGGCCTCAAACTCACAGAGATCAGCTTGCTTCTGCCTCCCGAGTGCTGGGATAAATTTCATTTTTTATGTGCATGGGTGCTCTGATTACTTTCATGACTGTGCACTACATATGTGCCTGATAGTCATGGAGGTGCTAGAAAAGAGCACCAGATCCCCTGGAACTATGGCTGGAAGTCACCATGTTGGTGCTACAAATCAAACCTGGATCATCTGCAAGAACAGCCAGTGCTCTTAACCCCTGAGCCATCTCTCCAGTCTCACACAGTAATTTCTTAAATGCTATTATGGTTACATTTATATTATATAACATGGATTGAAGAAAGAATAGATCAACAGTAAAGGAGATTAGTTAGGAAGCCAAATCAGTAGTTCAGTGAGACCCGATGGAGACCTATACAGCAACACTAGGGCTGAGAAGGGGGCATTGCTTTTTCTGAAGGTGCTGGGCTTTAACTGATCAGAGATAATAGGACACCTACAACTAAAACAGGTACATTTCTTAGAGAAATTCAGTGTGAAGTCCTGTGGGAAAAGTGTGTAACAGAATTTGATAGCTATTTTTGAAACTCAAGTTTGGAAGGGAATAGAAAGAAGGTAGCAATTAAAACCACAGCAGTAGATGAAATCAACTAAGGCACTCAGTAAACAGAGAAGAAAGCTTGAATGTTATCACAGAGACATAAAAAAGGAAAAGGTGAGGTATGCTAAGTTTGTGCTTGACCCTAAATATGTATTAGATAGTTTTCTCATTTATCTGAGAACAGTGATGATGGCTAAATACAGGATTACCTTGCTTCCTAAACCAACACTGCTCTATCCTTATCCAAGCCTCTTAGGGGATTGCTATCATTATGACAGTGTGTATCTTTCATGAGACAGTCACAATACAGCAAACAGTGAACTTGTTTATATTCCCCAAATGCCTCCCAATTTTCCAGGGAAACAGGAACTAGGGAAAGAATTCAGAGATGACCAAATTACTTGGGGGAATTCTCCAACAACATAATATTTAGCTTCTGATCCTTAAAAAAATGGTTAAGATATCCAACTTTCAAAGTCATTTTTCAGATAAAGAACACTGGTTGTAGATATACATACATGGGCACATCCATAGAAACAATAAAAGTTGTCCAACAAGTATACCCATACAAATTATCAGTAAGAATAATTGGAGTTAACATTTCTTTCCTAAGGGGAGTTACTTCTAACACATTACTGCCAAGTAAGAAAACCACTATATTCTTCCAAGCAAACTCTTGTGTCTTTTTATGGAAATCTCTTGTGTCCTGTACTCCTAACAAGTACCAGAAAATGTCTTACTTTGGCTAAGATTACTGACAAATACAGAGGACAGGATAAACATGGCACTCTGTTTAAGTTTTAAGTCAATCTTGACTCCTTAACGTTATGGTTCAAGTTCTAAAAGATGGTTTTTATTCTTCCTTCAGCAAAACTAGTCTTAGAAAATAACATAACTTGGTTGTCAAAGCAAATAAATCCTAAATTTGTATTCTGTATTTTAATAATACACACACTCAAGAACTATAAGACAAAAGTTTTCCCTGCAAATTGACATTAAAATATAAAATTCACTAAGGGAAGTCAAGTATTTGGATGAGGTGAGAAATTTTAAGACATTTGAGCTAAACTTTAACAGTAGGGACCCCAAAGGTGCTCTCCTAGAAACTGCTTGCTGTATTTAACCTTATTTACTTATTCATTCATAGACAGTCTCATTATGCAGCCCTGGCTAACATGGTCCAGGCTATGTAGACAAGGCTGGCATCTGACATAGAGATCTGCCTGCCTCTGCCTCTGGAGTGCTGTTGTTGTGGAAACTCATTCCACAAATAGCCTTGGGACAGCAAGCTCTAGGGCATGGTCTTGTCTGCTAAGGAGGGGAAGTGCACTTGCTCTCCCTTGCTCTGGCTCCTGCTTGGCATAGTAGGAAACCAAGCTGCAGAGAGTCAGTGCAGGATCAGCAGCGGCATCTGCTTTGCTCTGTATCTGTAAGCTTGTCTTTTTAATGCACCCCTTAATAAATTGGTTATCATACTTTTGTGAGTTCTTGCTTCAGTGTGCACCTCCTTGTATTAAGACTGGACAAGGCAACCCAGTATGAGGAATAGGGTCCCAATAGCCAGTGAGAGTCCAGGCAGCCCCATGCTACACAATTATCACATATATGCAGAGATCCTAGATCTTAACACAAGGTGAGACACTTAGTCTTACTACAACTTGATATGCCATGTTTTGTCGATATCCATGGAAGGCCTGTCCTTTTTGGATTAGCAATGGAGGAGTGGATGGGGGGAGAGGCAAGGAGGAGGTGGGAAGGGACTGGAAAGAGAGTATGGAGGAAAAACTAAATGGGAAGTAAAATAAATAAGAAAGAGAGAGGGGGGAGAAAGGGAGAGAAGAAAGAAGGAAGAAAATAATTGCAAAAAAAGGTGTGTGCCACCATACCCCATCCCATGGTTAAATGTTTGCAGATATTAACAATATTATTTATTTTTGAGAGAGGGTTTCTCTATTATATAGCCCTGGCTGTCCTAGAACACATTAGTAGACCACGCTGGCCTTAAACTCAAGAGATTATTGGCCTGCCTCTGTCTCCCAAGTGCCGGGATTAAGGTGTGCACCACCACACCAGAGTCAATGTTTTAAAACCGGTAAGTGGGGCAGAGGCTGGAGCTTATTGGTTGAACATGGCATGCAGCTCTGGGTTAGATTCACAGCACTGAAAAACAAAACAGAACAAAATGCTGACAAGTGGCTACAGCATGTTTCAGGGAGGGGGAAATGAATACAGAAACCATGACAAGAAACTAACCATCGTAATAGTGTAACATAGCAAAAATTCCAGTTTTCTGATCTCATTGAAAGCATTCACTTTGAAACTCCCTTTTCTTATACTTTCTAATACTCTACAGGCTAGTATACTTGGGAAAAGGAATGCATATACAGAAACTGATGAGGAAATGAAAGGTGCCATGTAGTGTAAGTGGCAGACTGGGCCTCAGAACTGGGCCTCCCATGCTCACCATGCACCAAAATCCACAGGTGCTCAAGCCCTTATATACCACAGTGTCTACATATGAATTATGTATATCTCCCTATACACTCTAAATCATTCCCAGATTACATGTAACTCTTCATAAAATAGACATGTTATGTAAGATGTTACCATCACATGTTATTTAGGGTATGATACAACCAGAAAAAAATGTACATGCTCAGTAAAGACGTTGTGTTCTTTCTAAATATTTTCTATTCATGGTTGGTTGAAGCCATGAGCACAGAATCTAAGGATACAGCATGTCAACTATATTTTACCAGACTATATGACCTAAAAAAACCATAAAACATTTATTATGTACATCCTTAAAGGAAAATACTGCTAATTCCAGCTCCAGTTTACCAGA